GGTAGCAAGCCAAATCTTTGACAGAAAAAGGCCATAACAGAAAATCAATTTTACATAAAAGATTTGTTTGTAAAATATTTATTTTGATAGGCCTTGGTCTTTTAAAGCTGAGGCTAGACGTTTTGTTGGCGGCCGCTGCTGCAGTAGTAGGCCTAGCCTAGGCCTAGGTTAGGAGGTCTACTACTACAGTACTAGGCCTAGCCAGACTAGCTAGGCTAGGGTCTAGTAGGCTAGGCATAAAACATCTGCCAATTGAAGCCTAGGTTGTAACCTATTATTTGTCTAAGCTTCATAGTAAATTATTATTATCATATTATCTGAAACATTGTTTATTATCTAAAAAGAACCAAATTAAATATGTTCGCCTTAACTACCGATTGCTTCCGTCAACAAACACATGTAAGCGATTTTTTTTTTCTGCACACTGCTTACTTAGCTTGTTGCATGCATGCAATTCAAGCAATGCAAGGTTTAAAAAAAATTAATGTTGGTGGCGCACTTCACATCTTGTGCTCAATATGAAAAAAACGATCGTTTTTCGTCGATTATAGGCATTTTTAGTCGATTTTCATAATTAAAAAATAAATAAATAATTTTAATAAAATTTGTATTAGTTTTTGTAGATCAGTTTAGTCTAGTTTTAGTTAATACTAGGCTAATTACAAGATATTTTGTATAGATATTTCAACTAGCAATCATTTTTTTTAATTTGCTGGTTTGTGAATTTTTACCTAGCAATTATGACAAACCTACTAGCAAATTGCTAGTTTGCTAGCGTGAATTTCGAGCCCTGAATCACTGCATTTTTAGATAGTATTCAGATAGATACTATTACATAATCAAGTGTAATTATAAATTGTCCTTAATGAAAGCAACACATGAATGTTTACAATACATTTACTTTTTTTTGTAGTTTTGAGTTTAGATCCATTCTAAATAAAGGACCACTTCATAAAATCATACCTATTTTTTAAATATAAAGCCATAGTTGAAGAAGAATATAATTGCCTCTTTCTTGATATAGCATATATATTTAGGAATGCCAAATAATTATATTATTTT